TACAGCAAAAGAGCCGCTTGTGCCTCATAATCGGCCGTCAGCAGGGCGCCGAGGCGGCCGCTCCGACGCCAGCGAAAACTGCAGAATTCTGGTGGGATGACTGAAGATTTTTTTCTTTATGGATTTCTGTCTTAATGCGTGATGAAAATGGATTATAAACCAATTTTTTGCCTAATCCATCAGGACTTAGTCTGAAAAAAAAATCAAACGAATTTGAGGGCTTATACTGTTCCCCGGTTTCGGTGAAAACTAGTAACGGTGGCACTGATAACATTATCGCTGGTAAACAAAACCACGCATAAAAAAACTAACAGTGATGATTCATATTAGCAGAATTAACAATAGTATTATTGATAAAGAAATACGGTTACCAATCATGCTCATGATTATCCGAGTGAAACTACTTTTCAAATTGCTCTTGTTACCAATCCTAGTAATATAATCATGATCCTAATAGATTACGGTCTTATTGCAATCATTACCATTATCATTAAGTTTGTAGACCATCAAATGACCACGGCGAATAACAACAGCATCACTCGCCTGAGCGTTAAGCACCAAAGGCCTGAGTTCCGCTGTAGCAGCAAGAGGAGGAGGCAGCAGCTGTAAATTGGATTTCCGAAGTGAAATGCTGGAAGAGGGATATTTAGTAAAACATTTTAACCAAGACTCCATCTGAGATTTAACGAAAGAGAAACACTTTGTGGCAGCGATGTATGAGGAAAAGAAGTGCGGTTCCCCTAAACGGATCTGCATAACCGAATTGGCGCTGTCGCTCGCAGATATTCCCACGTGAAGAGAATGCACCGCATGCTGCAGTTGCCACGCCCTTCCGCTGGGCGGCGAGGGACCCTGCCGGATTTCTGAAATGAAATGCTCCCTTCGCTAGAATGTTACCTAACACACTCAAAGGTATTTACACACACATACACGTATATATATATATATATATATATATATATATATATATATATATATATATATATATATATATTATATATATTATATATTTCTTGTTTATTCTATATATCTATATATATGTGTGTGTTTTGTGTGTGTATACACACACACACACACACACACACACACACACACACACACACACACACACACATATATATTATATATATATATATATATTATATATATATATATAATATATATAAAACAAAACAACACAATCACGTGTACAAGAAAATGAAAATGAAATGCCACAATGAGAATTGAAAATAAGCGTGACGTTTCGAACTCTTCACGAGTTTTCTAATTAAAAGGGCTTCAATTATTTTTCTCTCGTACGAATATGACGATCTTAATTAATTATGCGTCTTTCCAATTTTAACTGATGTTGGAGGAACGTGAAGAGTTCGAAACGTCACGCTTATTTTCAATTCTCATTGTGGCTAGTTTCATTTTTATATATGTGTCTATATATGTGTGCATATATTATCGTATATATATATATATATATATATATATTTATATATATATATTATTATATATATGTGTGTGGTGTGTGTGTGTGTGTGTGTGTGTGTGTGTGTGTGTGTGTGTGTGTGTGTGTCTGTGTGTTTATGTATATGTATATGAATATATATACATATAATGATAACAGAAATATAATGAAAATAAAAAAACTCTGGGTCTGTTTGCAGACCCGATTCTCTCGCAAGAGGAAATTCCTACGAAACACACATTTTCTTTTATTTACAATTGTTGTTAAAACAATAGACCAAGAAAACAACCAACAGATCTAAGAATATCATTACCACCAGTTATAGTTATAAAAATACAGTTATAAAATTTGTAGTAACATGAAGATAATAATTCTTCTCATTATCATCCCGACTCTCATCCGCTTGTGGCCGACAGCAAGACCTTGGCCGACAGTCCCTGAGCATTATGCCCGGAAGGTCAGCGGCTGTCGTTTAGGGCCAAATCCCTCGCCTACTACGCTTCAAGAAAAGCCCGTCTCGTTGGAGGGCATCGCAGGCTTCTAGTGACACGGTGTCTCGATGAGAAGAAGACCTCAGGAATCGGAAATTCTAATGGAGGAATCTTCTGGGGAAGCACCCACCTGCCTCACTCGCCTTGGCTGCCTCTCCTTTCGCTCTCCCGCGAGTCAAAAGCTTCTACCTTCCCTCTTCCATTTTCTCTGTGTGTGTGTGTCTGACTTGAATCGACCACAAAGAAAGGTTAAGCATTAAGTTGGTGTCTTTTTGAGTAAAGCTCTATATCCCTATCAGTGTGTATGGATTAAAGAAGGCGTTCTCTACCTTTAGCCGGGGATCCGTGGATGGGTTGCAGGTCTGTGAAGATTAGAGTAAAATTGACTTCTTTATTCTTCTATACCTTTTGCATAAAAAGAAATGTTCTTTTTCTTTTTGTCTTTAGACTGCTTACGTTAATGCTTCATAATGCTTTGTGTATCTCATAAATATATGAGGAAATCAAATGTCTATAGAGTACATCATACATACCCCATTTAAAGTTATGTTTA